CTAACCGTCGCATTGACAATGCGGATCTTGCTAATATTATTTGCATCCATATGTGGGAAGTATTATCCCCTATACTTTTATGATCAATATACCTCATAAAGTATCAAGCTAACTGAGTAACCCACCATAGTGAAGACTGTATTTTCCGTAACAATTTGATCTTACCTGTAAACTAGCATGCCCCACGTGACAGACTATTATTTGAGAGTAAATTGTATGGTTATGTCTCTTACCCCTCCTGGAAGAGCATAGGTCGTCAACCAGCATTCTCTATTTAACAATGCTCTGGATAATCTTTTCCAGTTGTTTTCAGTTGCTATTCATCCTTTGAATGTCTGTTTCCCAACACAATGTGTTCTTTAGTCTTATTTTTTACGTTTCCATTCAGGATTGCAAGTTGGCGTTCGCCTCATGATGCATTTCGGTGATTTTCCTAATGTATGTTCTATCCACTACCATTTCTTTCCCTAGTTTTCTCTTTAGCTGGAAAATGTTTTGTTCTCTCCCACAGTAGACTGTTGCTGATTATATCCCGTAGATAAATCCTTAGAATAAATAGCGCTGTACATCTTTGACATTCTTGTTGACCTTTACTGTGCAAATCCTAATTGAGGGCTCTTGGTCACGCATCCGTACCAGATCACGAGTGGGTACGCCATGATACGCATCCCTCTCAGCTGCCAGCCAACTTAAATCAAACGCTTCTCGACATATCCATAGCTTTTTAAACATATATTCGAACAGTTTCATTTCCGGCTTTGGGTTTAACTCGGTTGGTCTCCTTCGAATAAAAAGGTGTTACGTGCAAAGGCGTTGTCACACTTCGAATACCTGTGGCGTCTTTAGGTTTAAGCAAGTAAAAGGGATGCTTTATTTTTTATTTACAACGAGTTAATCAGTCACATCTGTAATTTTTTATTTATTTGAATCACTCCTGTTTGATTGCTTTCAGTTGATGATAGCCATTCCGTTTGAATCAGCATTACATCCTGAAAGCTGTCGTATTGTGTCACTATCATTTGAGCATACGCGTTCAAATTCTGTGACTTCATGTATCTTTTGGAAACAGAACTAAATTTGTTGTTTGTTGGAAGCGACAGTTATTGCTGATACACATATAGTCTCATAGGCTTTTAGCATTTTGCTGACTTAATATCTTGTGCCTCTGATTATTAACTTTGGGTGGAATAAATTGTCTTATGGGTTGAGGTAGAACTGAGTTCCTTGCTTGGCAAGGAAGTTTCTAACCTGTGACAAACAGTCGGTTTCGTGTTTTTCGTGTTTTTCCGTGATGGATACTCCATGATTTGGTTGTATCTGACATTAGGGGTGTAAAGTTTCTATGTAACCCACTACACAAAACCGCAGTTACTTTACATGTTTTATGTCTTTCATAATTGTCGGTGATAAAAATAGTATCGTATTGTCAAATTACTGCTTTCGATTTATTTCTGTCGGTGTGTACCAAGTATACGATACTCTGGTAACTTTATAATACTCTAAGGTACGTCCGAGTAAGTTAAATTAGCTCAGCAGCTCTTGCGTCAACTTAAATATCACGGACTTTCGATATGACGTATAATATCTAGACAATTAGCTAATTAGTTTAATTGACTATCACTGCCAAAACAGTGCAAAGTGTTCCCGATACTGTGATCTCTACTATTTTCAGTACTCGATTTCATCATGTATGTTCTCAGTAGACACCTCGCAGTGATGGATGATTAGTCTTGATTGCATATAAATTCGTCGAGTTTGAAAAATATTTTATTGCACTGTCGAATCGGTGACTTAATAAAACGACATCATGTCTATTACGTCTATAAATCGAGGGTTACTCGATTGTCGCAACTCACACATACTGCTGATTTAACTCTGAGTAGACAGCATGAAGTAACAGACTGATCAGTATGAAATAAACACGAATTTCCATGAACTTACTCTTGGCGTCGAAAACCGGTCACATATCCATATTCTTACTTGAAATCATCTAAGCACTTGAAGGAGGTGGATTCACTAGGAGCTAGTGTACTGGTCATCGATGATTTTATTTTCCGAACACCATCCATAGAATAATAGCTTTTTACCTGAACGGACATCGAAAACAGTTTGTTAACACCCATTATGGGTCATCAGAATATAAAAAGACACTGACGATGAGGTATCCACTTGAAAATAAAATGTTGCTGCCGGGTAAACTCTAAGTGTTTTCTGTCATGAGAACTGGTCTTTCTAAGACTTAAAAACTTCATACTGGTGGTTTTAATCTTAATAACATATATTATTGCCATATTTGTCATGTTTTCGACACTTGAATGTACCTGCTAATTCCAATCAGGAATATTTCGTTGCTATTGTTAATAAATCGTGTCCGTAAATTAAGACCAAATATAAGTCGCTAGTCGTACGGTTGGCAGAGGTGATCCAGCATTTTAAAACGATTCTGTAGCGAGTATGTACATTGTACTGTAAAATCAGTCATTGGATAGTATTTTCCGATTTGAGCTGCTTTATCGTGATAGTCTTATAACAACTGTCACAAAAAAATGAAGGTTGGAGGTTTTCGGTCTCTCGAGTCTGCATTTGGAGATAATGAATTCGAATTATGTTCGGAAATTCGAAGGTTTAGAAGACCGTAAGCAAAAGATTAAAAATTTTGGTGGCGATGAAGAAAATATTCAACATTAACGTACACTGTAATAAGTAATCTTTGGTCAGAATTTGACCTCACATATGTGGAAAAGGACATTCTTTAACCCATTTTGAAATGATCACAAGGGAGACTATCCCATAGGTTAACTAATTTCCATGACTCTGACTCGTTAGGCCTCGTTATTTTCGACATATTCCGCAGTTGATGAAGTAAAGCGACTAAATATCACTGAAAGATGTTCTCATTGTCCCTTAAGTTTTTCAGGTCGATATGCAAGCAAAAATGATGGAGGTTCGCGCCTAACTCACGTTTCAACCTGGAAATTGGGCCTCAACACGTAGATTCTCTTCACAGAAGAGATGAGTGTCCGAACTTGTAGAAAAAACACCACCTTTAAACGCATTAAAGTAGGAGATATTTCCATCAGAAAAGTGCAGGAACACTGGATGAATTCACAGTATCTGAATCAATTCATGGACCAAAAAGAGTGTTGCCACAAATACCTAATGTTGTGATAATCAAGTACCTTTGGGTTTGTGAACAAATAAAATCTTACCAAATTTGTAGTTAATTAGGGAGGAACACTGAGTACACTGTCCTGTTGGCCAGTTCATAGTGTGTCTCTGATCAATCTGCATCGAATTATTGTAGCACTGACGATGTCCGACAAACTGTGCAGCGTCCAGTCGTCTGCTGTCTGTCCATCACAGGAAAAACTTAGCTTCATCGATGATATGACATGGTATCAGCGATGATCTATGAGGGTATGTAGGTGCTGAGACACTCGCTGAAGACATGCGGGCTCCTAATATAACATAGAAAGTAGTATTCAGAAGAAGAGGTGGTTGTCGAGCCTTGAGTTCAATAATGTCGAAGGCGGTCAAAAACATTATAAATGACTAGATGTAGTTTTAGAGGTTAAAAATTACACACTTCAACCAATATCCAACATGAAGATGGTATTATAAGCAAATCAATCGGTGAACTTATTCAACTCTCGGAGATTATCCTGGCAACGCCGCTTAGCGTGATATTCTCACACACGCTAAGTCGAGGGAAACTACAACCTGCTGACTGCGGTGGACAGATGGACAAGCATCCTTGATCACAAGGGGAAGATTGATATCATCTACCTAGATTTCTCAAAAGCTTTTGATAAGGTTAACCATACATGTCTTATCAATAAGCTCAAACGATTGGGTATCAGACCACCTCTAATTGATTGGCTCACTTCATACCTAAAATATCGATATTTTAAGGTCAGGGTTAATTTCACTTTATCTCATGCTATGGAATGTCCTAGTGAGGTCCCCCAGGGCTCAGTACTAGGACCTCTTCTCTTCTTGATTTATATAAATGATCTTCCTCAACAGGTAACGTCAGACTTAGTACTTTTTGCCGATGACGTGAAACTTTGGAGAGAAATACGCAACCAAGACGATATACAGGCACTTCAGGAGGATCTGACTCGAATTCAAAGTTAGACAGACGATAACGGACTTACCTTTAACATTTCAAAGTGTAAAGTAGTCCATCTACGATATGTCGCAGACTACAGTTATAACTTAGGTAACTCTTCTCTAGTAGTATCCCAAGTCAAAAAAGATTTAGGAGTCTTGGTGCCCTACGATTTAAAGTCTTACGCTAACTGTGACAAAAATGACTTCCGAGCAAACCTTGCACTGGTAACATTGAAGCGCATTTTTGACCAGTTTGGCGGAAGAAATTTCCATATAATCTTCAATAGTTCTATCCGTCCCCATTTAGAGTACGGAAACATAGTATTTCCCCTCTCACTCCAAAAGGATAAGGACACCCTGGAGCGTATCCAACGGCGAGCCACGAAATCAGTTCGAGGACTCAAATTTAAACCTTACGAAGAGCGCCTCCATTCACTTAACCATTACCCATTAGAGTATAGACGTCTTAGAGGTGACCTTCTGATGGCTTATAGTATCCTTAATACTTCTGGACATCCTCTCAAACACTTACTTAAGCTTAGTTCCAACACTAACCTAAGAGGTAACACCCAAAAACTGGAGACACAACACAGCAGAACGGACTGTAGACACAACTTCTACTCCTTAAGAGTTGTCAAATGCTGGAATTCGCTGCCGGCCGAGCTAGTTCAAGCGACTTCCCAGGAGTCTTTTAAGAGGCAACTTGATCTATTCTTAAGGACTAAGGATAGTATCGCACTATGATTTATTAATTTCTTTTCCTGTTTTATTGTTAACATACCTAGGTTCCTGCTTGGAGGATTTGGTGATCCCCTGCTACTAGACACGGAAGCCTGTTAAGCGAAAGCTTCTTCTATTCCGTCCACAACCATTTGAACCATCTGAACAGTACCGCGGACTCCTCAACTTAGCTGGTACAAGCTAATCTAATCTGTCTTCCTACGTGGGTTTTCACTTGTAGCACTTCTAGTTTACTTTAGCAGTAATTGTAGTTGTGTATTTCCTACATGTTCAGTGCATTTTTTCTACCGAATTCATCTACAGTATTCATTATTTGTTCTGCTTCTAAAGACGTTGGATCCGATGTCTTTTTTTTCATTAAAGTTGAGTTTATAAATCTTCGTAAAGTTGGGAAAACTGATTAATCCAAACCGAGAGAAGCAACGAACTCCGATGAACTTTACATCTAAATGAAAAGATCACTAAGTATGGTAACCCAGGCTTATTACTTGAATCGAATGGAGCGTTAGTGTCTAAGGTTGAACGTGACTTTTTTCTTAAAAGTAAAAGACGCACATTTTTTTTACATTCGAAGACACTTGTCTTTGAAATCAATGTTCTCTCGTTTTGAAATTATATCATGAATAATACGAGTGTTATGCTTAGAGTATCAGTCAGATAATAACGAATCTTTCGAAAGGGTCTCAAGAGCCTCATGGAATCTTATATATCAACTGGCTATTATCACCAGCCGTGTCGAGTTCAGATCTCCATATCCGTGATATAACATTAATTTACATTTTAAGGTTCAATAGTATGGGTCAACCCTATACATTTTTATTTCTACTTTGATATTTTACCACTATTCATAATATACTTCTTAGTCCTATCTTTTAGCTTTCTTGATTCTTCTGGTCATCCTGAGGTGGTGTTGTATTTTACAATGCTATATATTTGTTGTGAATTGAAATCATACAGTTGTATGGGAGATTATTCTAATACTGAATGGGATCTGAGCAAAATAGTTGGACTGGGCAATTAGTACACAACGCTTAAGCGATACGCTGCCGAGAGATGTAAGAGAGAGAAGTCTTTTATGGAAAGTGGATTAGTGAAGACGTCAGAAGGGCTCAGTTATATTCCCAGTAATAAGTCATGTGCCAATGCAATGAATAAAGCATGCAGAATCCTATAAACTGGGTAGTTGTTACAAATAATGAAGAAGGCAACGAAAGTTTATAAACAGAATACCACTGAATAAATTAGCGTGACGAAAATATGTTGAAAGTTGACCTTACAAGTTCTCCATAAATCGATATTGATTCTCCTTCCCAGAATTTATATTTAGGGCTGCACACTCCAAACATCCTTGTTTAATGGCTACTTGCTCTTAGGTTTCTTTGTTATACCGTCTACTTCGACTGTAATAGTAATAGCCTTTAAATATTTCGGTACAGCCAAGGTTGGGAAGAGTTCGCCCTCTCTCGAAGTGCTTTCACATGGCCACGCGTATATAGCTACTGCCAGGAAAGTCCTACTCACTGCTTTCTCGATGCAAGGGTGTGCTCCATGATCCTGAGGGAACAAAAGGTGTATGAGCCTATTGTTAGTCACCGGCTACCATGTGACTGAATCTTCTAACGTCGCTCCACTTCCTTGTGGATCAGACCTTCAGGTCAAAGGCTCGGAGAGTGGCCCCTAAGAAAATCACCTGCGCTGGTCTGGCCACCCTGGCAGTATTCCAGCCCTCACACTGATCGAATGATTTGTGTGGCGCACATGTATTTGGTGCCAATGCTGACGTTTAAATAAATAATAAATAAAAGGATGAGTCTGTGGGTTCCTTAATTCTACGTTGGAATGTAAATTACAGATTTCCATGCTTTATGTGAGTGAAGCAAATATTATGCAAATTTGAGCTGTCGTTGTTTGACTGCACCTTGACAACTGTTAAGAGACAGCTGAATGACGGACTGGTAGTACGACCGTTAATATCGGCTGTAGTGTATCTCCACAGTATTGAGGTGGTATCCGTCAATATTCTCATAAATTCCATCATCGGTCCCTTGAATGTTTTGGTTTTCTGAATAGTCTAATCGTCTTGTAAGTATAAAATCTGCCTTTATAGCCCGTCATACTGCATTTAATGTTTGATGGTTATGTATAGGTACGATTTGGCGAAGTGCCATGCACTGAGACTTGGGTGTAGATTATAGGGTTTTCGTCTTCTCTCTGGGTGACGTGTTGCTAGGGTTTATTGTGAAAAATACCGAACACTTGAGACTAGATATAAATCTACTAAACGGAACAGTAAGAATCCGAAAAGCTAGGGACACTCGTCGTTGCCTCTTCGTCGTCTCTGCCTACTCTCCCACTGACTGCAGCTCAGATGAAGTAAAAGATGAATTTTACAGAAAGCTTTCCAACCTCCTCCAGAAAGTTAGACGCTCTGATGTAATAATAGTGTCTGGTGACTCTTATGCTCAAGTAAAGTAAACGAGAGGAAAGACACCTGTGTGGATTTTATGGAGTCGTGGCCCATATAATGGCGACCGTCTGTTGCAACTATGCTCAGATAACCGCCTGTTCCTTGCAAATACTAACTTTAAGCATAAGGAAGAACATCTTTTAACATGGCGACCCCCTAATTCGTCCCAACGTTGGACCCGAATAGATCACATCGCTGTCAGCCACCGATGGAGGGGCTCGATAGAAGACTGTCGCTCATTCTGGAGAACATGCCCGACCGTTGTTGCTACCTTGACGTGGTGGTCGGGCTTGCCTATCGTGATGAAGCAACCGAGCTATACTGGCTGGAACAACCGTTCCTCAAGGTCCTACCATGTCAGACAGGTCGGTTGAAGAGCGGTAAGACTAAAAGCAACAAACCCAAGGTCCGAAGGCGAAGTCGTACTGCTGACTGTACAGAGGTGTGACAGCAGTAAGGTGTTTCCTTCAGACAACCAGCATGACAGCGATGCTGCCTTCCCACAAGGAGGGGTGGGGTTAGAAAAGGTCGACCCTAAAAATGCACACCTCGCCTTATCCCACGGATATCCGTCTCCGGCGGTAAGGTCTCAATAAGGTCGTGTGTGACCGACCTCAAGCAGTTGTCCCTTGGGCACTGCGGTCACGCTCTCAGGTCACTGAGACCACCTTTAATCCAAATTCCTTTTCAGGTACCCCCAGAACAACTCTTCCACGGTGTGGGCAACCGGGAAGTGAAAACCGCCCTCATACCTCCAACAGCACTCAAGACCACTGTATTCATAATCAACCTTCCTCTTCAATTCCTATTATTCCTCCTACATCGACTTTCAACTTTAAATTTCCTCTCTCGGCTTCCACCTCAAGTGTCACCATAGCCAACGATTCTAGTGCGCAAAATACTGTCCCAGGTCTACTGAAACCTCGCTCCAAACTACACATTGGAGCCTTCAACGTACGAACCCTATGTCAAATCGGTCAGCAGGCTTCCTTGGCTAAAACCCTAGAGTCTCTTACCATTGACGTGTGCTGTGTCTCCGAAACACGCATACAGGATTCCAGTGTGGTCATTCACTTGACCTCACCTCGGCAAAACGGAGAGCCAACGAGGTACACCCTTCGTGTATCTGGTGACCCGATGGCACGTTCTCGTGGACTGGCAGGTGTGGGCATAGCACTAAGCATGAGGGCCGAACAAGCACTGCTAGAGTGGATCCCCGTCAACAGTCGTCTATGTGTTGTTCGGCTGAACGGCTACGTAAGAACTCGGAAGGATAGGAACACACGTCGTTGCCTTTTTGTCGTTTCTGCCTACGCTCCCACTGACTGCAGCTCAGATGATGTGAAAGACGAATTTTACAGAAAGCTGTCCGAACTTCTTCAGAAAGCTAAACGCTCAGACATAGTACTCGTAGCAGGTGATTTTAATGCTCAGATAGGCAGTTTAAACCAAACAGAAAGGCATTTAGGTGGATATTTTAGCATTCCGACACAGCGAACAGATAATGGTGATCGTCTGCTGCAACTGTGCTCAGACAATCGCTTATTTTTAGCAAACACAAATTTTAAGCATAAGGAGAGACATCGTCTAACGTGGCGACCGCCTGCACCAAGCCAACGATGGACTCAAATAGACCATATTGCCATCAGTCATCGTTGGAGAGGGTCGGTAGAAGATTGTCGCTCATTCTGGAGTACCTGCTTGGACTCCGACCATGCCCTAATACGGGCACGCATCTGCTTGCGCCTCACTGGACGCAAAAAAGCCACATTAAAAAGACCCGTTAGAACTGAGTTAAGTGACGAGAAAACCAAAAGTAGGTTCCAGGAACAACTGAGGTCACACTTAGGTAGTTGTGAAGACGAGGCTGACCCAGATGTTGCTTGGAAGGGCATACAATCAGCTGTGGAAACAGCAGTGACATCTATTAGTGACTTAAACCACAGAGTTGTAAGGAACCAGTGGATTTCTTCAAGGTCTGTCACACTGATGGATTCTCGCAAACTCGTCCCATCAGGTTCTGAACATGATGAAGAGCGAAAACAAATCAGATCTAGGTTAAGAAAAAGTCTAAGAAACGACCGTGAGCAGTGGTGGGCATCGAAAGCAAAAGAGATGGAAAAGGCGGCGACTATAGGGAACACAAGACAGCTTTACAGACTAATAAAAGAAACTGGAATTAATAAGTCAAGTGTAAGTGAGATTATATCGGAAAAAGACGATACACTCATCTGCTCCAAGTCCAGGCGTTTAGAACGATGGGCGGAACACTTTAGGGAACAGTTCAGCTGGCCTTCAGCTACTCTACAACTACCCTCCATTCCCAGACAGTGTGAATGGAACATTGAAGTAGGTCCCCCGACTCTTGCTGAAGTTCAAAAGACTATAGTTAATCTGAAACGAGGAAGGGCAGCTGGTCCAGATGGATTGGCTCCAGAGGTCTTTAAGGATGGTGGTCCAATTTTAGCGATTAAGTTGACTAATATTTTAGCTAAGATCTGGGAATTAGACTTTATCCCATCTGACTGGTCGCAATCACTTATCGTCCCAATATATAAGAAAGGGTCAAAATCATCCTGTGACAACCACAGAGGGATTAGTTTAACAAACATAGTTTCTAAAATACTGGCCTCGATAATTATCAAACGCCTAACTAAGACTCGTGAACTACAAACTCGAGAGAACCAAGCTGGCTTTAGACCTGGT